AAAGGATCAATAATGAACCTGCATCTTCGAGTATCTATGCTGTGGTCAATGTTGTGTGGAATGAGTGGTTAGACTCGGGAAGGTCACATTTGGCGTTGTCGCCAGGGTAGCCAGAGACTCGTTACATTTGGCGTTGTCGGCAGGATAGACTCGGGGACTCGTTACATTTGGCTCTGCGAGCAGGATAAGTCTCGTTACATATATATATATATATATATATATATATATATATATATATATATATATATACATATATAAATATATACATATATAAATATATACATATATAAATATATATACATATTTATATACATATACATATATATCTTTATATATATATAAGTATTCACATATTTTTTTAATGTATTTAATTCTACCCCCCCCCCCCCATACATAGATTAAGTTAGTACGATTCTCAACCAAACAGTTTACTTCAGGCATAGTTGAGGCAACGTTGAGTTAGTGTAACTCCCCCCCCCCCCCCAACTCACTCCCCTCCCCCACGGCGATTGCTTTAAACTGTTTTAATATAAAATACTAACGATTTTTTCTATCTATAGTCGGTTCTAAATACAGCTTGATGTAGCATGTTTTCTCTATCAATAGCAGGTTTACGTCATGGTGTCACAACCCCCCCCCCCCCCCCCTCTCCACCCTTGTCAGGATTTGGCAAATTTGCTCTTAAGGACTATTTAACACTAATTAATCACTTAAGTGGAATTATCATTTTTATTTTATAAATTTTGCTTTTTTTTGCCTTGATGTCACCCCCCCTCCCCCTAAATAATGTCACCCAGTGCGCTCCGTACCCCCCCCCCCCCCCACCTCGCTACGCCTCTGCGTCGGAGATGCGAAAAACATGTGTCGGTTCTTTCATAATGGAGCAGTAGGATAGGTTTGTCACTGATATCCGGGCTGGTGATATAAGCTCTCAGATTTGGGAGCCGTCTGCTGTTGTTTTGTGAATTAAATCGTGATGAAGTGGAAGGGAGCAGGGCAGTCAGCTTTAGACCCGTCTAAGGAGAATAATTCCTGAAAAGGTTGGGGGCCGTCTGCTGTTGTTTTGTGAATTAAATCGTGATGAAGTGGAAGGGAGCAGGGCAGTCATCTTTAGACCCGTCCAAGGAGAATAATTCATGAAAAGGTTGGGTACCGTCTGCTGTTGTTTTGTGAATTAAATCGTGATGAAGCAGAAGGGAGCAGGGCAGTCATCTTTAGACCCGTCCAAGGAGAATAATTCATGAAAAGGTTGGGTACCGTCTGCTGTTGTTTTGTGAATTAAATCGTGATGAAGTGGAAGGGAGCAGGGCAGTCATCTTTAGACCTGTCTAAGGAGAATAATTCCTGAAAAGGTTGGGGGCCGTTGGTTTACATTAAGCTGCTAGTACCGTGACATTAGCAGTAACTCTCGACAGCTTTTCGCTAGAGGATTCAGGTACGAAGGCGCAACCCCACTGATGCTGTTGGCAGAGGCGTAGCGACCACCCCCGACGCCTGTGGACAAACTTTCACTTTGGCCCCCAAAATAGTAGTCTATAATTTATTTTCTACTTTTTAGTGCAATAGTACATAAAAGCTTGTTATTAAAACTTTTTGTATGAATTTTTTTTCTCTTTTCTTTTTGTGGATTGAGTTGATGATGTATGGGCTTATTAGTAGAGCTGAAATAAATTTCGGATTAAAGTGAAAAAATGTAAATAACATGAGCAGTCTGAATGTTATGTTGAGTACAGTGAGACACTTCGAATCAAGCTCTCTTCCTTAAGTTTTCAAACAGTTGTTTTAGAGTTTTTTAAAGCGAAAAAATTAAAGCAAAAACGAGTCTGCAAAATCTGCAATGTTTTTAAAAAATCTTACACTCTTTATTAAGAAGAAAATGTTTTCGAAATATTGTGGTTTTTTTAAATTAAATCATCCCAAATTTATAATAAATTTTATATATTTAAATTTTTATTTCAATTCACTTTGATAAGAACCTTTTTTAAAAACAAACTACATATAATGAGTTGTCACTTCTTTAGTAGTAACAATAATGTATGTCCTAATCAACTTTTAAAACTGTAGGTGTGTTTCTACGGGTTATTTCCCTTAAAAAATATATTTTAATTTACTTACTAAAGGGAGGTAACTATTGACAAAATTTTCCATTGATAAGTATTTAACAACTATTTTTTTCCTAATATCAAACGAAAGGGTTAGAATTTCACAATGATACGTTATTTTGTGTTAAGTGTATATTTAAAGAAAAAAAATACAAAAAAAAATACTTATAAAACATGTAACTAACTGCAACTATAACGTGAATTTCAAGACTAATTCAATAATGATAATTTTATGTAGTTTTTTTTTTTAGGTTTTCCTTTGAGTATAAGTGTAGGTGTAGATGTAGGCGTTGATATAGGTGTAGGTTTAGGAGAAGATGCAGATGTTGGTGTAAGTGTAGGTGTAGATATAAGTGTAGGTTAGGAGAAGGTGTAGGCGTTGGTGTAGGTGTAGGTGTAGATATAAGTGTAGATTAGGAGAAGGTGTAGGGGTTGGTGTAAGTGTAGGTGTAGGTATAAGTGTAGGTTAGGAGAAGGTGTAGGGGTTGGTGTAAGTGTAGGTGTAGGTATAAGTGTAGGTTAGGAGAAGGTGTAGGGGTTGGTGTAAGTGTAGGTGTAGGTATAAGTGTAGGTTAGGAGAAGGTGTAGGGGTTGGTGTAAGTGTAGGTGTAGGTATAAGTGTAGGTTAGGAGAAGGTGTAGGGGTTGGTGTAAGTGTAGGTGTAGGTATAAGTGTAGGTTAGGAGAAGGTGTAGGGGTTGGTGTAAGTGTAGGTGTAGGTATAAGTGTAGGTTAGGAGAAGGTGTAGGGGTTGGTGTAAGTGTAGGTGTAGGTATAAGTGTAGGTTAGGAGAAGGTGTAGGGGTTGGTGTAAGTGTAGGTGTAGGTATAAGTGTAGGTTAGGAGAAGGTGTAGGCGTTGGTGTATGTGTGGATGTAGGCGAAGGTGTAGGCGTTGGTGTAAGTGTAGGTGTAGCTGTATTTAAGTGTAGGTGTAGATATAAGTGTAGGTTAGGAGAAGGTGTAGGCGTTGGTGTAAGTGTAGGTGTAGATATAAGTGTAGGTTAGGAGAAGGTGTAGGCGTTGGTGTAAGTGTAGGTGTATGTGTGGATGTAGGTGAAGGTGTAGGCGTTGGTGTAAGTGTAGGTGTAGCTGTATGTAAGTGTAGGTGTAGGTTTAGATAAATGTTTAGGTGTGGGTTAGGTGTGGGGGCGGGCGTGGGTATGGGTGTGGATTTTGTTGCAGGTGTAGTTTTAGCTTAGCGTTAGCATTATTTTTAGTGTTTGTGTTAGGGTTATAAATTGAATATACACAATCAAATTATTTCATAAGCGACCTGCTCTTTTCCTCATTGTTATTTATATAGTGGTTTATTAGGCTACTTAACTTTAAGAAAAAATTGTTTTTTTCTCTTTAGTGCATATAATTAATAGCATGCAATTATAAATTATTTTTCCTAGTCTTGTGGCAACCAAAGTTTAACGAATATTAGGAAAATTAGAAACTGTTTTACTTTTTCGTATCCGAAGTATAAAGATAGATTTCGAATCGGGCAAAATATCCAATTTGAGATTTGGATAAATCTCGACTGGCTACACATCCCTTAGTCGGAAAAACTTATTATTTTTGTATACTTATGTGTCTGTCTGTCTGAGAACATGATACCCTAAGTACCGTTTAAGTTATTTTGAAGAACTTGACATTTAATTGTTATATCGAATTTGTTGTTTTTCTGTCAACTTTTGAGCTATTTCCGGTAACCAGAAATAGTACCTACTGTTCTACCGGTTTCTCAAAAGTCAAAAACTTGAATACCGTTTAATTAAGGGGAACTAAATGTCACATATAGGTATTACATTTTATGCACAGGTATATATTAAAATTTTAACGTTTTCCGGTAACCGGAAGTGGTACTTTACCCTATTTCCGAGGGACAATTTATGTAAACGAATTTCAGTAAAACACTTTATACTTTTCAACTTTTGACAAGTGTCACGTTGTCGCACTAACCCAATGTCACGTTGTCCCACTAACCCAATGTCACGTTGTCGCACTAACACAATGTCACGTTGTCACACTAACACAATGTCACGTTGTCACACTAACACAATACCACGTTGTCACACTAACACAATGTCACGTTGTCACACTAACACAATGTCACATTGTCACACTAACACAATGTCACGTTGTCACACTAACACAATACCACGTTGTCACACTAACACAATGTCACGTTGTCACACTAACACAATGTCACGTTGTCACACTAACCCTATGTCACGTTGTCACACTAACACAATACCACGTTGTCACACTAACCCAATGTCTCGTTGTCACACTAACCCAATGTCACGTTGTCACACTAACACAATGTCACGTTGTCACACTAACACAATACCACGTTGTCACACTAACCCAATGTCACGTTGTCACACTAACAAAATGTCACGTTGTCACACTAACACAATGTCACGTTGTCACACTAACCCAATGTCACGTTGTCACACTAACAAAATGTCACGTTGTCACACTAACACAATGTCACGTTGTCACACTAGCCCAATGTCACGTTGTCACACCAACACAATAACACGTTGTCACACTAACCCAATGTCACGTTGTCACACTAACACAATGTCACGTTGTCACACTAACACAATGTCACGTTGTCACACTTACACAATGTCACGTTGTCACACTTACACAATGTCACGTTGTCACACTCACACAATGTCACGTTGTCACACTAATACAATGTCACGTTGTCACACTCACACAGTGTCACGTTGTCACACTGTCACACTAACACAATGTCACGTTGTTACACTAACACAATGTCACGTTTTCACACTGTCACACTAACACAATTTCTGGTTGTTACACGAACACAATGTCACGCTTTCACACAAACACAATGTCACGTTGTCACACTAACCCAATGTCACGTTGTCTCTCCAGGAGGAAGGCACCAGAGACCACATGGTCCGGCTGCTGAAAGAAGCCGGAGCCGACGTCAACATGAAAGACCGGAACGGTCGCACGGCACTCATCCACGCATGCGAACAGAGGTGCAACGACATTGTCCGGATTCTTATACAGCACTGTAACATCTCCCCGGATATTGAGGATGTGGACGGTAAGTTTAAAAATTATATATGGATTTTTAAAAAATCATCGTGAATTCTGCTTAGTAATGGAGATACTGTTCTGCCCTTTATCCGGTGACTTTACTACGACCGGAGAGAGAGAGAGAGAGAGAGAGAGAGAGAGAGAGAGACACGCACACACACAGACATACACACAAACCCCTTTCGATGAACGTGTACCGCGCCCCCCCCCCCCCTCTCCCGAAACAAAAAAAAAAGTATATACAACATATATAGTTTTACCAGTGTCCACCCCCACCCCTAAAATTAAGTCCGCCCCACCCCCGAAAATGTCTAGTGCACCCCAACCCCCCCCCCCCCCCCCACACACACACACACACGGAGAATAAAAGTCTAAAAAAACACTTCTTACTATTTTATTATTGTAGCTGGATAAACTCTGTTTAGACACTAAATTGGACGTCAACCAGTGCTGATTTTTTTTGGTTCGGTGAAGAGGGGGGGGGGGGGTGAGTGAGGGGGATATTTTTTTAGTTCCACCTCTGGTACCAACATGGTACAACGAATCGTCGTAAAATTCCAGTGATATGGTTTTCTGTTCAAAATCACAACAATAAATCACACAACTATAAATTGCATTTATTTTTAAAAAGTCACTTAGATATTTTAAATTAAAGACAAAGTCATAAATCTACCAGGTTTTTAAAATAATGTAATGTGCTACACGTGTTCAATACGCCTGCTGTGGAATTAATAGTTCGTAATGATGTCTATTCACTTTTCTCTTGTACTTTAAATTAACAAAGTGTAACTAAATTAACAACGGAAAGAAACGGAAAACGAAGTCATAAATAATTCTCCCCGCCGTCCGCAATCGATCGCCATGTTTGTGTATCCGCTAATCAACGAAATCAACCGAAAGCAAACTAATTGAGGCTTACGAAATATAGTGTTCAATCAAATTACGTTGGGGCGGAGCGGAGAGGAGGGGGGGGGTGGAAAGGGAGGTGGAAGGAGTACTATGGTGTGGGAACTAGTGCGCTTTTGTGTGGGACGTATACTTTTTATGTGGAACGTATGCTTTGTGTGTGAACGTATGCTTTTGTGTGGAACGTATACCTTTTGTGTGGTATTTACACCTTTTGTGTGGAACGTATACTTTTTGTGTGTGACGTATACCTTTAGTGTGGGACGTATAATTTTGTGTGTGACTTATACTTTTTATGTGGAACGTATACTTTTGTGTGGAACGTATACTTTTGTGTGGAACGTATACTTTTGTGTGGAACGTATACTTTTGTGTGGAACGTATACTTTTGTGTGGAACGTATACTTTTGTGTGGAACGTATACTTTTGTGTGATACTTACACCTTTTGTGTGCAACATATACTTTTTATGTGGGAAGTTTACTTTTGTGTGGTATTTACACCTTTTGCGTGGAACGTATACTTTTTGTGTGGGACGTATACCTTTTGTGTGGGACGTATAATTTTGTGTGACTTATACTCTTTATCTGAGAAGTATCCTTTTTGTTCGGGACGTATACCTTTTGTGTGGTACTCAAACCTTTTGTGTGGGACTTATACTTCCTATGTGGGAAGTATACTTTTTGTGCGGTGCTTATAATTTTTTTTGTGTGTGAGAAATAATGACTGAAACATGAATTTGTATTTGAGACAAATCATGTTTTCTTGGAATAACATGTGTGTTGCTTCGTATATGTGTTATATGGGAACATACACACTTTTAAAAAAACTAAAAAATCTTTGTTATTGATCAAGTAATTTGATTGTTAATCGAGATGGTAATAGTACGTGAACTAATAATTAACTAATAATCAGCTTCATATGGGGAATGGCGTGGTCGGATAAAAGTGTGCATGATCCCTTACTAAAACTAAAGTACGGACCTCGGGTAGATGAGGCTCGATAGCTGGGGACAGCAATCCAATAGGGGAGACAACTCCAAAAATCAAACAACTGCTGCCTTGCAGATTGTTCTTGGGCGGACAAACGCAGCGATATCAAATCCAAAAAAAAAAAAAAAAAAAAAAAAAAAAAAAAAAAAGCAGGCTTTTGTTGCATCAACAGTCATATGGTGAAAAACATTGTGTTGGAAGAAATCTCCTCCAATATAATAATTTAAAATAAAGAAGAAAAAGCAGGTTTTATAGCGAACTAGTATTCTGCGATCTAAAAAGGTTAATGGGGTTCTGCTTGGGGGTGTTTAGAGGATTGTGCAAGTGTATAGCTATGGGTGAACACAAATTATGCTTAATACGTTCTTGACATATTTGAATGCAGTAATAATTTTATGTTATTTCATGAGGTGAGTTAGGGGCGAAAGTTAATTGACACTTTTTCTGTATGAAGACACGCGAACGAACATACAAACACATACATACACACACACAATATATATATATATATATATATATATATATATATATATATGAATAAATAAGTAAATAAACAAATAAATAAATAAATAAATATATATATATATATATATATATATATATATATATATATATATATATATATATATATATATGTGTGTGTGTGTGTGTGTGTGTGTATATATATATATGGTACATTTGTGTGTCGTGTATATGCGCGTGAGTGAGTGTATATCTATGTGTTTGAGTGCGTATGTGTTGGTTGCAAACAAAATAGACCTCGAATCATTTCCTTAAAAGTCCATGAAACCCGAACAAGAATTTAAAACGCCAGCCGTCGCCATCATCTCCCACTCTCCTATTGCCCCACATTCGCCTTCTAAAACTTCATAATTTTCCCCGGGTCAGAGGGAAAACGAAAAGAAAAAAAAAACGGAAGAAGGGGCGGCTACTCCGTCAATACATTGCTTTACTTTAGATCTAAATTTATAACTCACTCAGGCGTTCGAACAACCTTTCAGAACATGGGTAAATATTGACATTGTAGGCTCGGAAAATTAATTCCCGATCGATTTTTGTTTTTTTCCGACAGGGACTTTTGAAAACAGGCTCATGTTTGCCCCCCAATTAGGGATTTTGGTGCGGCTCGGGTGCTTTGTTCTGTCTTTCAATGTATTATGTTGACTGTGTACTGAATGACCGTAGGAAACAAAAGACAGTATTTATATTGACGCGTTGATCTGAAGTTAAATTTACATTCAAGAAAATTCGTCACTTACTTCTTTGAGATAATTTTTAAAGGTTTTTAAAAGTGTGCTACATTTTTAAAGTTTTGGTGCGAAGTTATAGTACACCAACTAAGGCGTGTAGAATGGACTTTTCTTATTGCCCCAAGCAGTTTTCAAACTTTCAAATCTCGAGTTCCTGGACAACATCTGTACACAAAATATGTATCAAATGCTGAAAATTACTTGATTTGATTCGGTGAATTTCCAAGCTGTTTTGCATTTTACTGACTATACAATGCATAAATATAGACATATATATATTATATATATATATACGGGGGGGGTGCAAATATATAGAGAAAAACTTGAGGGGGGGGGGGTGCAAATCGAAAGTTTGAGGGGGGGGGGGTGCAAATCGAAAACTTGAGGGGGGGTGCAAATTGAAAGATTGTCCCCGGGAAGGGTCGCTACGCCTCTGGGGGGGGGGGATGACACCATTAAGTGCCGCACCGGGTGACACCCGACCTCGCTACGCCACTGTATATATACATATATAAATGTGTATGTATGTATATATATATATATATATATATATATATATATATATATATATATATATATATATATATATATATATATATATATATATATATATATATATATATATATATATATATATATATATATGTGACCTAGGCTAGTTGCATCTTTCCTGTTCGCAACGCCCAATGTGACCTTCCCCGAGTCTATCCTGCCCGACAACGCCAATTGTAACGAGTTGAACCACTCATGCTACACAACATCGACTACAGTAGAAAGACTCGAAGATGCAGGTTCGCTATTGATCCTTTTATTACATGAATCAAGAAATGCTTCAATATAACACAATGAATCAACAGAAATGTTTCACAATAATAGTCTGAATCAACTGACCCCCTAACAGTCCTCACTAGGCTTCATATAACTGAATCCACATGTCTATTGTCCTTCTTAACACAATATAACCAACTTGAGTATGTCACACAGACTGACTGATCTAAAGCCAGCGATCGAAAAGGGAAAAAGGGGCGAGTTCTGCCGTCCCCTCCTATTTATGCCTTGTATCCGTACTCGTCTCCGTACTTGTATTCCTCCGTAATCGATACTTGTACTCGATGTCTCCGACCACTAGTTGCGTAGTTCTAACATACAGTCCGTGAAATAACATCTGCATCCCATCAATCAAAGTTGACAGGCCGTCTGAATCTCCTTGTACCGTTTCCCAAAATAGCACGCGTTGGCTTTGAGATTGTTATCAGCCCGACCCAATAAGCCACCTGTTGTGTTGCGTCAGACTGCAATACTGCGTCTCGGCTTCTCGTTCGTTATCAGATTTGTAACTAGTAGTTAGGCCCACCCTAGCTACATCCACCCCTGCCTTTTTTTGTGTGTTTTCAACCACAAACAACGCCTGACAGGTGCACTCCTCCAAAGTCAATCGCATACTCGTAAAAAATTTTATTGTTCCACTCACTGTCTACGACGTCCCATTCGTATACGATTGACAGTTATACCTATTTCACATATCAACTGTGTCTACATCGTCTTCCTGAGACACAAAACAGTTCTAGAATTCACATCCACCCTTTTCGTTTGGTGCCTTCACCAGTTCACTTTTATAGCTTTTTTTTGAACCGTCTGTTCTCATACCAGCGCGACCATGAAAGACTTGATGGTTGCTGACAAAAAATTTCGTCTTCCTTCTGTTCCTCAAACTTCTCCGCGGACCACTTATCTGATGGTCTACTGTCTCTCTGCTTCTGGAAGGAACGGGATCCTCTTTGTTGCCGTTATCCTCCACTTGTGTATCGCGGTTGTTCTGATGATGGTGATATGGTTCCGGGATGGGTATGTGAATTTCCG